GTGTGATAGATGGGGTGTACAAGAAAATAAATGAAGTATATGAAAGAGCTGTCATATCTGCTTTTAACCTGGATATTTGCTACCTGAAGGACTCTTAATCTCAAGAGTCCCCAGACCACCAGGAGAAAGGCCTGATTTACAGTGTTTAAATATTAATTTCAACCACTTTTACCAAAAATCAGAATTCACAAAAACTGTTAGTTTCACTAATTTCCTGGCTACCAAAAGGTACGTTAACTGAAACAAGCTTTATGGACCAACCAAGTCCCACTAGGTATTGCAAGTCTTCCACCTATTTATAGGCAAAATAAAAGAGAAGGGTATAACATCCAGTCTCTGTTAGAGCCCAAAGCTCATTTCACTGGTGGAAATCCCCACCTATGATACGGGCATGGAGGCCTTTTGGAACCATATCTGTTTCCCGCACAGCACATATAAGCAGTTAGATTTCTCATCATTATTGCAGTGAGTTACATCAAGATGAATATTAAGTCTTTGCATATCCTCCACTGAAGCTAACATTATAGAATATTCCTGATATAAACAGACTTTTTCAAAAATCTTAAACTTTCTACCTTAATATAGAAAGATTATCAAACTGCCATCAGCATCAAAAAATCCTAAAAGCACCTATTGCTCATTCATTTTAATTCAAAACAATCATGAGTGGCATACTAGATAGATAACAAGCTTTGTAGCTGAATAAAGAATCTTTACCCTCAAAGAACTCCAAGTGAAAAATATATCTTAGACTATGACCTATAATATGTGATATACTAGACCAACCTTCTATGGGAGTACAAACGATACATGGTTTCTGAAGTATAAATAATACTTTGCCAAGATGAAAAGTTGGGGGAAAGGGTATCCCAAAGTAAGGCTTCAATCTGAACAGGGCAGGAGGTTTAAAAGTACATGACCTGATATGGAAATAGTAATACAACATGATTCGACCATAGACTGCCAAAAGATAGTCGAATGTAAACCTAAAAAGACAAGTTGTGAAAAACCTAAGATCTCATGCAAGATAGTTTAGAACTGTTCCAAAATTCAGTGAGGAGACATCCAAGGGACATTTTAGTGCAGGGAAGTGATAATCGGAATTGTTTTAGAAAGTGAGTTCTGAAGAAAAAATCAGGCCGGGTGGAAACAGAAACCTGACATCTGACGTATGGAAGCTAGTTAGGGAGCCAATGCAAAAGTTCAAGTGAGAAATGGCACAGGTGTGAACCAGGACAACAAAGTGAAATGGGATTCACATGATACTTCGGAGTGAGTATAAACAGAATTTGGACTGGATTTGGAAAGAGAAAGATCACCATTTCTAGCTTGGGTGATTAGATGGATGATGAGGCTATTAACCAAGATATGAAACACATAAGGATGATGTTTGGAAACTTCTGAAATTAGCCTGGATTAAAAAAAAAAATCACTATATGTGTTCATTAGAGAAAATGTTACGACATTCACGTTAAACCAAAGTATGCCCAGATAAGCAATGGAAAGAAGTAAACTTTGGTCTTTTCAATTAAAGCAAGCCTACTTATCCATCTTAGCTAAATCCGTTGTTGACGTTCTACTTTCCACTTAGTAACAGGTCACTAAGCTTCTTAGAATATATATCTCTATCGTCTCATTTATCTAAATATTTGCTATGTACATCCCATATCTGTAAATCAGATCTTCCCAAGCTCTAAAGATTAAACAGCAATGTGAACATTTTATACTCTTCTTGAAGAGCATATATATTTAGAGCTCACGTATGGCACTCCAACACTGCCATTAGAAATCATCAGAAAAGGACGGTATGAGTTTCATGCGGACGTAGAAAATAGAAAAAAAAAAAAAAGGCAACTTTTTCCCACTGTTATAATTTGGTCTTCATAAATCTTCTAGAAGAAGTGGTTAGTACATAAGAATTAGCCAGGTGTGAAGGTGGGTTAGACTGAAGACATGGTAGTTACCTAGAGAGAGTTAGAATGGTTTGTGAGATGTGAAAGAGAGAAGACAAACTTAAAGGAATGTAAACGTTACCTTCAACATCACAACTCAGGTAGTTACGCACTTCATTCAAAATGAAGTTGATATCTTCTTCCGAAGGAATAGGATGCTGTGTGATATCAGTTGGAGTGTCAGTAGTACCGGCTATAGTCATTTTTTGCCAGGGTAAGAAGAAAATAACTCGCCCATCACTGGTAGCTGGGTCAAGAAGTCCCATACTTTCTGGGCTGAGGTAAAGAGATTATTTTTTATTTTTTTATTTTTTATTTTTGAAATTGACAAACATTTAATCTTAATCTATAGTTTATTTTATTCACCCATTTTCATCTAAACAAGAAAAGCATGAGCTATTACTTCTACTGCTGCTACCCTACTCTAGAAATTCCTAAAAGAAAAAAAACAATTTTGGTAGCAAAAAGGAATGGAGCAAGTGTGATAATAATATTCCATAGCAGAACCAGCCCTCCCCAACTCAAAAATGCAAAGTTAATTAAGAAAGTGAAATTCAGCTTACAACTGTTTGTGTTTTTATACTCCTGGACCGTTCACATCAGATAATGGCAGTGAGATAAATGTCTATAATTTCTTTTATAATGGCCAATGAAGGAAAGTTCTTCAACCTTTTTTTAAGTTAAGTCTATGAAAAGTGTTTTTCGGGGACATCTGACATTTGGCACATCTCTCAGAAGCATATGAGAAAAGTGAAGGATCTAACTTTCTAGAAACTAAAATGTAATCAAAAAGTTCTTTACTGTTTTGTGCCTAGATGAACTTGTACCACTTCACCAAATATGAGATTTCTTACTTTATTTCAATTTTACAGAAATCTCAAGAAGTACATCCATGAGAAAAGAGCTCAATTTTCTACTACTACCTAAATAACAATGTACTAGGATAAGGTCACAAAAGAGAGGCATGTCTTAGCAAGGAAAATCTTTAAACAGACAGAAGATGCTAGTATCTTATGCTATTAAATCAAGGTTCACAGATGCCTCTTGTGACAGATTATATAAAATCTTCCAAAATATTAATCAAGAATTTTCACTAAGCGTACTTAATATTCTAAAACCAAATTATAAAACACACTTGAAAGAACAGGCAACTATAAAAAAATAAACATTAACAAAACCTGTCTAATTTTATTATTAAATCACTAGAAACTTGTTTTAATGTATTTGTTAACCATTCAAAGAAATCTGGAGAAGTTATTAAGGAGTGAGAGAAATCTGAAAGTGTCATATATAATTAGAATATTACAAATCTTCAGATGACTGTTTCAATTTTAATTCTCAAAACAAACTTGGGTTAAAGTTTCTTGTAAGGTATTTTCAGTTTCTGTTAATCAAATTTCTACAATAGAAAACCATTTTATTTTATTTGATAAATTTCAAGAAATCCCTCTTACACCCACAAACTTAAAAGGCCATACAGTCAACTTTTTGTTTATCATTCCCTTAAAAAAAGTTTTTTTAACCCACATTGATTCAATGTGTAAGGATGAGAGACTAACAACTATTTAAAAGCAAATCGAAAATATATTTTTTTATGAAAAAGAAATCTAGTCAGTTTAGTTAATGCATCTTCTTTATTTAAACCACAAGTAGTACTAGTCTTTCCTTGCAAACTCATCAGCCCCAGGATATGCCTGCCATGTCTACACTGACTTTGTAGAGAGGAATCACTGTCTACAGCCTACCCAGGAAAGACTCAGGAGAAGTATGCCACAGTTCTATTTAGCATAGGCAAAAAGCACCACAGAAATATGTCAATTATTTAAACCTTCAGCTTTCATCTTCACTCAGGATTACTTGAAATGACTTTTACTTTCATTTTTATATATTGAAAACTATAGTAATATTTTCAGTCTGCATGACTATATATTTTTTTCCTTTGTCATAAGACTTTCTAAAAATCTTAAAAGAAACTAGTTAATTATGTGTTTCATAAGCACTTAATTCGAACCTGGGTTAATATGTCCTTAGATTAAATCGGTCACTTTGAAATTAGAAATGAATTCATTCAGAGTTCAAGTTTTCAATTAGATAAATAGCACTATATTGAAACAAAAAGAGAAATTCCATATTCTAACATTTAAGAAAAAAATTATATGTTTTATATATAATCATTTTATGGACCAGATATCACATGATATGCCCAAATAACTCAATAAACCTGATCAATTTTAGCATTACAATATAATAGTCAGGATCCTAGACATGAAATGTTGTTAGAAAAGCACAACTACTAAATCCTTTAAAACCTTTCAATGCAATAAAAACAATTTAAAGGGTGCAGGTGATGGTTACCAATACGTGTAACTGGAACCTGTAGAGAATCAACTGCTTAAGTGAAGACATATGTGTCAAACGTAAAATTAACAAGCACAGAGGGAAGACAAAGCTATTAATGTAAGGTATAAAAATTTAAGAATCCATTTGGAAATACCTTTCATCAGTTCTGAATTACCTAATTCACACTCTCTCTCGGGAAAAGAATTATTTATTTATTTATTTTTTTATATGAAGGATTAATTCCGCAAGGTCACAGTGAAGTTTGAAAATGAATATCAACTATGGTAATGGTATATACAATACAGTGAGGCATAGATCATTTTCAATATGTATGATTCACTTGAAATCAGGAGCAAAAGCTTGCTGCTAATTAATGTGTATGTCTAGGATTAAACGTAATGAACAGTTTTCTCATGCAGACCACTGCCTTGCTGAAGTACCTTTATTTAAACTGAAATCAATGTATTGTTAACTACTTAGCAATCAGTGTTAGAGCTAACAATATGCACACACATACAGAAAAAATATTGACCTCTTGTCAATGATAAAAAGCATCTGTAGGCTAGAAGAAGGAGATGATTATTTCCATGTATTTCAGTCATTTGTTGTATTGTTGCTGCTTTTGTAAAAAATAACCACAACTGTAATGAAAATTCCAGATTTATTCTTAAATAAACAAAAGTGTCTTTAAACATAAATGATTTCTGTGTGTTGAATTTTCTGAAATTAAAATACTCCCCACCAACCCCCCAAAAAAGAAAGCTGTTACCATAGCACAAGAGAATTCCACAGGTGGAATCTGAGGGTCATAACAAGCTTAATAAATGCCATAAAAGTACTCTGAAAACAGCCCAACATGACATACTGCACACATGGTCCTCCCTCTTCATTTAGCAGCCCACACTCAATAGATCAGTTGCAAGTGAACTCACTGCATCTCCAAACTGAGTAGGTTCTAATTGAAAGGTTAGGTCTTAAGTAATTATCAGGTAGTTTATAGAGCAGCCCCAGAAAGTCTAACTCATCCTGAGCACCTAGTCGAACCCTCGAGTTATAATTGCTGAGTGCGACAGACTGATGAACCTAGAGAACTGTTTCAGTCTCAGAACTCCTGACCCCATCCAAGAGAATGAATTGATATGGAGAGCAAAACTATACTCTGGGATGCTAGAGTTACAGCTGCTCCAGGTCCATGATAAAAGAGGAAATAACCCCTTAATCCAAGCTGCAATCTCAAACCAAGGGTCTCATCTGCAACAGAGCTGGAACAGGAACTGCGCTCCAGACCACTCCTTAAAGGTTCCTGCAGGCTGGGTAGTGGTTATATAGTTCAAAGTGCTAAACATGGGGATATTCATTTCTTCCAAAGTAGGATGAGATCAATCACTGCATCTTAGACTGAGACAGACCCACCTCTGACTAACACTTTCATAATTGATGGGTAGGGGACCCAAAATTAATGCTAAATTTTTACGATAAAGAAAGGCATTCTATTTTGAAAATATTACATCCAGGTGACATATATTTATATTTCTTAAGAAACATCTATTTACTCTGTAATTAGCATATTATAAATCATAGTACAGAACAATATATGTAGCATGACCTCTTTCAAGTAAAAATTTTTAAAGGAATCAGAAGGAAGTGTTGCCGATTACCTGAGAACTGAAGTGGGGTGATAAGGTGAGGGGCATGAGGAAGAAGAGAGAGGCTTTCCCTTTTCATTTTGTATCTTTCTATTTTTCTATAGTGATTACTTTTATTTTTTGCACAGTTCTCTGAGCAGTAAAACTAGTAAAACAAAGAATCATTTTATTTTCCTGTTTTAACTTCTCTATGCTTAACAATTCCCTCGGTGTTATAATAACATTTTAATTTTTTTAAAAAAACAATCTCAATTTGGGCAAGTTAACACAAAAAACAATGAGTAGAATTCATTCAAAAAGTATTTACCAGTCACTATTATGTGCTAGATACTATATCAGGAGCTAGGGATATAGCGGTCAACAAAATAGATAAAAAATAATCAAAGGATCATTGTCAAAATGTATACACATTAAGTACTATCATACGACAAGGAACCAGAAGCTGAAAGAAGCAGCTTGCCAAGGTCACACAGTTAGCAAGAAGTAAACCGATCAACAAAACTTGACACCAGGAAACTTGACACCAAAGTATCGCCTTAAAACTCACTCATACTGTCTCCTCTGTGCACTCTGAAAGAGCAGAATGTCTTCTCATTTTAATGAAGGGCAAACTGAGGTTCAGAGAATACAGTGGCTAGTCTCAAATGATGTCATTATTAAGTGGCAAAATTAACATAGGGAATAAATGTCCTCTGAAGTCATGTGAAAGTAGTGAAGAAAACACATGAGAAATTATGTTAATTCTAGTAAGATCTAAACAAATATAAGGATTATGATGATGTGTATGTCTATAGGTATTAGATCTATACTCTAAGAGATATTAAAAAAATAAACCTCTCCAAAAAACTTTTAAACTAGCTGGTCTTGCATATTTTTAATCCAAAACAAAATAAACGTATACAATTACATCTGGAATTACTGTTGAAAATTTCTTTATATACAAGAAACATTTATAACATTTACATATATTTACATCTTTCCTTTTCATTTGAACTAAACTTCTGGCTAGCAGTTTTTAAAACTCTATTAAGTATCACTGCATAAATTTTTATTATTAAGAGTGGAAGCATCCTGGTTTCTCCAGTCCTAAGTAAAAATACTAACACCTATCAACCAATAATATAGACATTTAGAAAATGAGAAATAAATCTTAGAAGTTGTTGGATAAAAAATTATCTTTAATATTTTTCTTGGCAGAAGTGTATTTGATACAAATGAGGTGTATCTTGGGCTTTCTTCAGGAATATTTAGTTACTGAAACACTGATACTAAAGCAGCAGTATCCATTACATAGCAGGACAGTGTTCCAGGAGAATGCAGATATTAAACAAAATATGATAGATTCATACATCTATTTTATCAAATATTAATTTATTTGTCATTAATGAAAAAACAGCAGTGATAACTCTCATTCTAAACGCATTCCCTAGAAATTATCACCTTTAACTCATAATCATATTACCTAGAGAAAATCACCATTAGTATTTAACATATTTTTTAGTCTTTATATACTTTTATAATTTTTAGATCATATTGCACATATAATCTTGTGTCCTTCATTCTAAACTGACATTGTTTAGAAAGTCCGGATCATTAGCATTTTCCTAGGACATTAAAATTATTTATGATTTTTAATGACTATGTAATATTCCCTTGTTCAGATACACATAATTTACTTATCTATTTTCCTAAGGTTAGGGTATGAAGTGGTTTCTAATATTTCTCAGCTACAAATAATATCATAATAAATACCTTGAGCATAAGTCACTATTTCATATAGAATAACTAGTTCGCCTGCTAGATTTACTACACATGAAAATAAAAATCGTATACATGTGACATACTCTTAACATTGTCATATGAATTTTTTCCACTGATGTAGTTTAGGAGTAACCATTGTTAATTTCTTAGCTAGGACCATATAAATGTTCCTTTCATAATTTTTTAACATCTACAAAAATAGAATAGTTTAATGTGCCCTTCACCCAACTTTAACTATTTTCCATTAATAGATATTTTTATTTTATCTCTATCCCTATTGTTCGATTTCTGATTATCTTTGTTAATATCTTGATTAGAAATTATACCTGATTTTTATTTACTACAATATTTTCAAAGGGTATTTCATAATTTATAAATATAACAATACTTGAGTGGTCCTTACTTTCAGCTTCTTCATAAGCAAATTTGGGTGTTTTATAAAATTAACTTTTTAATTTTTTTAATTAAAATGTCCTTTATGAAAATTTTTACCAAATTGACTTTTAATGTTTTAATGAAAATCTACAAATACTAAGGCTTAATCTCTCAAGGTACGTATACTGAATAAAGTACAAAAATGGATTCCAAATCATTAACTTCTAGAAAGGAGTATTGCCATAAAAGCTAAAACATTCCCAAGTCTGGTTTGTTTTTGTGTCTTGGATGAGTTCCTTTACTTATGTCTCCTCATTTTTGTTTGTCTGTTTTTTAATAACAGTTGACATACAATATTCTATTAGTTTTAGGTGTACAACATAGTGATTAGACATATTTCTCCTCATCTACTATTAAGTAAGGTGTGCTAAAAGAATAAATACAGATAATTTCTGTGGTTCTCATTCTTTGGTGAGGATCACTGAGTTGGAAGACAGTTACCTGTAATAACCAGGCATCACAATGTGGACACCAGCACTCGGCTGGCAGATAGCTGTGGCGCACTTATCATCCATTTTGCGCACAGTGTCTGTGAAAGGTCCCGTGGCATTGATAACACATTTGGCTCTCACATCAAATTCCTGCCCTGTGAAAGAAAGTAGCATCAGTCACACACCCCATTTGTTTCTCTGCTCACTGATGCTTTGGATTATTCATTCATCTATTAACTTAAACTATGGTGAAGTATATTGTATACCACACTAAGAGACATGAGCAGCCAGAGTTATTTAAAGCCACACAAAAGGCTCCCATCTGAGTAAAATTGCCAAAAACAAGTCCAAATTGAAAAGTGGTGTGGGGGGAAGCATGCTACTTTCTCATTTCAGCTCTCAGTTATTTTGCAAAATTCCTAGCATCAAAGTGCCAAATATGGAGAAAGTGAGATGAGTAAATAAGCTGTCATCTTCGTAAAATTCAAATGTGTAAACAATGTTGCCATGACACAATACATTTCACAGTGTTGGTTTTCTTCAAGGAAACAATGTAGTTTTGAAACTGCCTACATGGCCATAAAACCGAGACAAGAATGAAAATCTAACCAAAATTAAGGTGATTGACTTTAACGACATGTAAATGCACTGCCTGCGTTGTCTAAATGATACTTTGAAACTTGGCACATTTATTTCATTTTATTAATAACATGTTTCTGTAAAGAAAACGAAATGCATTCATATCTGTGGGAATTTTGTGGGCATTTCTTATTATTATCATTATTAGTAGTAGTATTTAATACAAAGGGGAAAATTGGCAAGTCCCACAAGGGAAAATTTTCATGTTAAACCAGTCATTGTTGACAATAAAGAATGTAATTAAGATGACTCTGAAATCTGGCTTAAATAAAAGAGAAGTGACAGAAAAATTATAATTCAGTCATTACATAGGCAAGGCAAGATGCTAAAAAATACCCCTGCCAGAGTCTTGGCGTACCTGTGAGTACATCCTTGCACCGTGCGCCGCTCACGCTCTTTCTTTTTCAGCAAGCTCATGACCTCCATGTAATTAGCTGTGGCAGCCCCATACCTGGCAGCAGTGAGAGCAATGGCAAGGTTCATCCGTGCATCGTTGTGCTGTCCTGCAGCAGGGGAAAGCATCAGAGGAGGGACAGGAGTCACCTCAAGCCACAGACTGGTGGTAAAGAAGTATGTCACAACAGATATGTCACATCTGTTCCTGTCACCTAGAATATACTGATGGCTGGTCAGCTCTAGAGGGCATGATTTAAAAATACATGGTCATTCTCGGTCAGGCATTTACCTGTCACTTTGGCAAGTGCACTTTTGAACCGCAAAAAAAGCAAAAAAAAGTCCCTTTTTTCCTACAGAGCTCATATCAATTAGCTGAAAGTTAAGCAATAAGTAATTATTCTCTCAGTTTGGGAACATATGTATATGTCAGACTTTTCCCAATACAGACAACCCGTATGCATGAAAGTGAAGCAATTCAAAACTTCAGAATATTTGACACCCCAACTGGTGTTGATTAACAATTTTTATGAGTATGTGCTCTATCTAATATTCAAAATCAAAAGCTTAATCTTCCATAGAGAATTTCTCAGTATTCTGTAAAAGGATTTTTCTTGGTTTGAATTTTGATCAGAGCTCCTTAAAATGTAACATTTTTTAAATCACACATAAAAGGTAAGAAATTAAGCAGGGCAAAATTTAATTACTGAACAATTCCTACCTGTATTGTTAAAGATTTATTGCTGAAAAAAGCCTAGTTAAAGAAAACTAAGGGGGAGGAGAAGGGGGGAAAAATGATTAATCACTTTAAAATACTGGCATCACTAGAGACTTTTTCTATTTATTATTGCCAGTGGAGTTAACGCTGACCAGGAAGAATTACTCTACATTGCAAGGGCCAGGTTCTCTGTGCCCTGAATAATTAATTACCCAGGGCTAGATGTATTGAAGCAGGGTTCAAATTTCCACATATTGGGATCATTTCTATCAAGATAATACTGATAAAGGGATGAATTTGTAATGAATATTGTTGTTGATTTATGTTGCCAGCATACCAAACATTTAGTATAAATGGTTTATGTAAAGTTTCTTCCTTGTGATTCAGTCTGTGCAGGGCCAGAAGCACTACCTAGGTAATCTGTTCCAGCTAAAAGGGCAAAGTTATAAAGAGAGAATCAATGACTGAAGATGCTGCTGCCCCTCCCTGAAAACATCTTATTCTAAAACTGCTGAACTAATACAATCGGCCAAGAACCTTTCCCTCAAAATTAAATCCTCTATCAAGTCAAGAATGCACATTAAACTTCAAAATGCAGGATGAAAAGTTATTTTATCTAAAAATTAATAGAAGGAAAGTAGAAGAAAGTAAACAATAGCATCGGCAGTAGCTGAGCTAGAAGTGGGAAGAACGGTAGCATTCTATTAATTCCAACTCAGCATGACCCTAAAGTTGCTAATAAAATAGTCAGTAAGGTATACTTTAAGAAACCAACTTTTATTAATGTAAGGCTCCTTACTTCAAATTGAAATATGCTCCATAAAGCTAAATACATACAAAGAGTCCAAAGAAACGAAAGAAAAAATTCCATCACAGATCTTCTTTTTAAAGAGAGTATACGTCTAAAGAGAGTACCCATCCCATCCAATCTTTCTAAGAGAAAAAAAAAAAATCACAAAAAGTCCAAGTCATATTTGTGTGGTAGCGAAACACTCATCCATCCAGGTGTGCCTTGATTTACACACAGGAGAAGTCTCTGGAAAACCATGTGTAAATTAACTATTTTAAATCCTATATGAAGTCACTGTTCAAATGAACCAGGCAGAAATCCCACTTATTAAATGACAAATTCCTTGGTAAAATCATATATCTATTACACGATCATCTGGTAATAAAACTCTAAGCTTCAAAAAAAAATCTTTTTTTGTACCTTTTTAAAATATAAAATCTTATTAGAACTATTGGATTGGGTCATCAGGCTCTGTTACTTCTATACTAAGAAATGCCTCCCTAATTAGCTTCTAAATCCCAATACTTCGGAAGGTAAACAAGATCAACCTCAATTAAAAGTGTGAGGTGAAAACAAGTTCCTTCAGTCCTTATTTTGCATGCCTGCTCTGATACCCAGCAGTACTTATTTAAGAAGGCACTTGGTGCTATGAGGCTCCTCTGCCAGAATCCTACTCCCATTATTTTCACTATCTAGGAACATCAAATTATTTGCAACTCCCTGAACATCTATGTCATTTCACATCTTGCTTTTGCCCACACTCATTTTTCTGGCTGGAATACCACTGTGAAAGTTTTGGACCACTCCTATTCCTCTCTCATGATCTGGTTCAAACATCACCCCATGAAGTCGTCCCTCATCTGCATCCCTCTAAGGCAAAGTTGTTCATTCCTTCTTCTGAGTAGACATTATATCTTGTACATACATTTTTATAGTCTTTATGATACTATATTCATCCGTGTATCCATCGACTGAAAAAAATTATAAGCTTTGGTTATGAGTCAAGCACTGTAACAAATGCAGGGAACACAACAGTGAGAACGATATGGCATATTTCTGATCGCTATTCTCATAGAACTTACACTCCATTGTAATTACTCAATTTTTCATGTCTCCTTATCCCAGTCATGGGAAAGCAGGCAGCCTTACTTGTTCATCTTCTTTTTTCCCTTGTTAGTAGCAAGCACAGAACAGGTATCCAGTAAGTGTTAAGTGTAGCCAAATTCCATAGATAAATAAGATTATTTATAGTCTCAGGTATATAGTCTTAAAGATTTAACTTTATCATAATTTTGTATACACTTTATAAAACTTTATAGTCTTTATAGATTTACAATCTTATCTGTAACTATGGAATTGAATGCTTTGTCTCGTGTTAAAGAAATTTAAGGGGATCAGGGAAATCTCAGAAATGCATAAAATCTGAACTTAAACCCAAACTAGCCTTTATATTTAAGTTGAATAAGTGGGATGGAAGGAAAAATGGTTATGAATGATTTCCTCAAGACTTATCCCACAAGTTTCCTTCCTCTTGTTTGCCGGGGAAAGCAAACACAGTTATTAAAAGCTCCTAGAAACTGAGGAGTAAATTGACTTTTCTCTGGGCCCAGGAGCTCACACCTTCACCCAGAAGCTCCTTTCTCTGCAGACATTCAGTTTAATTCATGTACCTCCTTGGATTCATAGCAGGTCTGTGCACTGTAAATGGCCATTTAAAAGTGTGCTGTATTAAAAGATTGTATGTAGAATTTCATAGCATCACAGAATTTTAGATCTGAAGGACCAAGGTAATTTGTTACTTTTTTTTTTTGTATTTACTCATTCTTCATACCGTTTACACATTCAATGATTATTTTTCTCTTTTCAGCTATTTTGCATGTTAACTTAGTTGCCAAACTTTGAAACCTTACCTACTCCCTTACCCACATTAAATTCACCCTTTACCCTCAGATACCCAGATGCTCACAGTGTATGCTTCCTGGGATAAGTGGTATATTTTCACTCTTCTTAACTAAATTCCTCCCAGCCCCCTCTCCTGACATTTTGCAAGGTATCTGTACGCCTCCTGAAATTTTATTTCTTGAGAAAAAAAGTTTTTTGACAACACTGCATGTCATTGGAATGCGATACAATAATCTCAATTCCCCCACCCGATTGATCTGCTTATTAAATTTGGATTTTCAAATCTGTTGCCTTTGAGCCAGGGAACATACTATTCACTAATCAGGGAATAGCTTTCCATTGGCACCAACACAAGGATCCAGACGGGGACTGTGAAAATCTGTTTCCTACTCTTCTCCTTTTGCACTTGAAATCTTACATATGTGCACATACTGAACTTACAACTCATATGAGAGGAAGCACATAAGAGGTGGAACTATAACTGTTTTCCCTTGTTTAGAAAAACAAAATGTTAAATCAATCCACCAAAAAGAATGTAGGTCAGTGGTGGTTGAGAAGGATTTGCCTTACTCCTCAATGGCCTTGCACACGGGACAGTGAGAGAGATTTTAAATGAAAAATATTTTAGGATGTAATGATAGAATAGACCTCAAATATAAATATTTTGGAGACATAGCAATATTGCACTCCTTGGAGGGTTTCAAAGTTTGGCAACTAAGTTAACATGCAAAATAGCTGAAAAGAGAAAAATAATCATTGAATGTGTAAACGGTATGAAGAATGAGTAAATACAAAAAAAAAAAGTAACAAATTACCTTGGTCCTTCAGATCTAAAATTCTGTGATGCTATGAAATTCTACATACAATCTTTTAATACAGCACACTTTTAAATGGCCATTTACAGTGTACAGACCTAGCTATGTGAACCCAGGGATTCATACAGAAAGTTTGTTAGAAAAAATAGTCTTTAAAATTGCATTTGTCCATAACTTTACTGTTAATTAAAATTGCCAATGTTAAATGTTAAAAATATTTCTTTCCATCTCCCTGTGCCCTGACTCTGCTTCTAGAAGGAGGGGGAAAAAAAGGAAGCTTGAAAGAAAAAGTACTTCCTTAAAGATTTAATCCCATTTTTAACAAAATGTACAAGGCACGCTTCAATGTCTCAGACTGACAGTGTCACAATGACCTCTCAGGCAGCTTCTCCTTAGCAGTCAGGCAAAGATAATTCAAAGGCTAATAACCTACCAAACTCAAGTTGATTTAATATAATCATTATATTTAAAATTGCCCTGTCTGATGGGAAGAGTACAGATTGAGGAAGAGTAAAAATGTGTGCATGCGTGTGGAGGGGAAGGGATTACTAAATTCTGGTTTAAGTACATATGATGAATAAACTGAAAAAGGAAAACTCAAAATGAACACATACTTTTCATGGTAAATTGTGACGACAGTAAAATTTCCAAAAGTATATTACTTATAAAAGTTATAATTTTTGTGGCTAGTGGTGGGGATCAGGGAGACACATGAAACAATTTAGGAAGCATGCACCTTACAAGATACAGTGGAGAATGGCTCTGGACTTGGAATGATTAGGTCACAAGTTTTGAGTACTTCTCTGGGCTTTAGTGTCCTATAAAAAAAGAGGAATTGGGTGGAACCTCTGAAATTATACAATGAATGTAATGGCTGATCGTCCA